TATAAAGGTATATTGTCCCTCCTATTATAATATTCATCAAGATACGAAAAATCGTCTTGCTCTGTGAAGTTGACCCACTCTACTAAACTACAAATTGAATAATTACTAGCCATGAATATTGTAAACAATTATTGTACCTGATTGGTTGGTCCTTAAGAGATCATTTCAGTAATGAAGTGGTAAACGGAGATAAGTCGACTTATCTCCCAGTTGAGTTTTTGAGGAATATTTCCGAATCTAAGGGAGATAGCGAAATTTTCGTAATTACATTTGTTGTAGCACTCAATTGGCTCCACAAAAAAGGTTATAATAAAAATTTTGCTGTCTTCCTTAGATTCCGAGATATTGATTGAAAACTGGTTAATAGTCAAAATTGACTCATCCCCTTTTACCACTTCGCTACTGATTTTATCCCAGGACTGAATAATAATCGTTCCTATTCATCCATCCATCTATCCAGGCAAAATCGCTCTAAAACATTTTTATCTTTCAGTATTTCCTTTCACAATTGGTAATTTCCTGGATAATTTAATCAATAATGATTCTATATTTGACTGGATTATTTTCACTCATTTATCACCGAATGATGTTTACTCTTATTCAATAATGAGACATTCGCTATCTCTCATTCGACTAGATTGCTAATCAAGTCCATCGATCTGCGAAATTGAACTTTAATGCAATGTTGCATTTATGCTGATAACATGGCGTGTTTGCACTTGTAACGGATGATAGTAGTAATGAGGGTAATGATAATATTCAGACAAAGAAAGGCTAAAGTAATGCACATTTTCATACGATTTATTGTAGTATTGATTCACTTTTCGAAATTACATTTCCTGGTACATAATAGTATATTTTGCAATACTTGCCTGAAATGTTCACTTCTCGGGGCGGTTTAATCCTCCAGTGGTCGCGCTATGATCTGAACCCCGCCGTTTTTGTTATTTTCACGATATCTCTAGAAATGTGATGAATTACGTTCTGCCTATTTACGAGTTCCTCAAATGATATGTCTTGATGAGATTAAACACGGTAGGGTTGCCCTGCGCTGACAACTTTTAGACACATGAAAAAAAAAAAACTTTTCTTTAAACAATGGAAAAATGACCTGGTGAGTTAACCGGGGAATTACTTTGTAAAGTATTATTGATAATGAGTTTGACTAATAATTGTAAGGGTTAATAAGGGTAAACTTGTTCTCGTCGTTACTGAGTTCGCACACCTTTCGGACCCAAGAAAAAGAAATTACCCTATTCGAAACAATGGAGAAATACTCTGATGAGTTCACTGGGAGGCCACTGTTGAAAGTATTATTGATAACGAGTTTAATTAATGTTTATGAGGGTTGAGCAAACTTGGTCTCATCATTCCTAACTTTCGTCACCTTTCAGAACCAAGAAAAAAAAACATTACCCTATTTTCCGTATGGCTGTGCTAGCTTACCAAAAAACCTGGCACAGCCTTAAAAAACAAAAAAAAAAAAGAAAAAATCGAAATTTTCGTAATTAATTCGCGAAAAACTTCCGTTTTCAATTTCCGTCGACCAAATTCGAGTGTGATGCATTGGCTGGGCTAGCTTGTGATACCTCTGACAATTATTTCTCAATTAATTTTTTTGTCGAGCGCGGTTAGCGAGAATGAGTGCAGCGCTCACCGTGCAACCACTCTCGTAGTGGAAATTTGATGAGCAGTGTTGCCGACCCTTGTGGTAGTTCTAAGCAGCGTGTGCGGAGTGGGGGGTCACTGGCGGTGATATGTTTATAGTGTTGTATGGCTCTGGCAACGCTGCGCACGAGAATGTACGGACGGCGCAGCACTTACCACGCGACCAACGACGTTCGGCGAAAACGAGCGACTACAGCAGGGTTAACGAGTGTAAAGTGTTTGTTTTTCGCACGACGTGTGTAAAGTTCAGATGTCGTGGGTAAAGTGTATAATATTTATAGGTTATCAGACTGACGAGACCTCTCGGGTACTAATAGAGAACTAGGTTATTATGACGTATATCCTTTTGTGTAATGGCGTATTGATAAGACCGACTTGAGAATATACAAAATATTATCGCCATATATCTAGTGCATCTTCATTTATTAATTATATACTTCTATCTGAGCTTCTTACAGACTTTACAAAGTGAATTTTTGTCACGCAATTCGTGAAGCCTCGTTTCACGCACGCTGCTCGTGCTAAAAAGCCGCTTACGAACGTCGTGACAAAAATATGCTTCGTCACTGTGTTGAAATAGTATATTTCAGCACATGTGGGGCAATATCGTCTTTAACGTGTGTGGGGTTTACAGCATGAGCCGAAGGCGAGTGATGTAACCACACACGTTAAGGACGAAATTTCCCAACAAGTACTGAACAAAATTTTATGTCACGAAGCCTGAAACCGGCTGAATTAGACACGAGACGCGAAGCGTCGAGTGTGTAATCCAGCCGGTTTCAGGCATGAGTGGCATAAAAGATTTTTCAGAGAGCTTTTATTTGTTGGTAATCGAGAATTTAATTAAATTGTCTCATTTTTAATTATTCAATTGAATATTCACTCATTTGGGGGATAATTGCTTGAATAAGAGTGACTTTCGGTCATTTTCAATACTTGTCCCACTGATGAAAATAATAAACCCCGAGCTACGGCGAAAGACAAACTCTAATTGGCGCCAAAATTCCTTTCATGTTATTGACAATTTTTGGTTAAAATTTCAGATTGAAAAAAATTAACTTTTTTCGTCATTAACGTTTGGAAAAAAAAAATTTCTCGTATAAACATAGGATAGGATTTCCGTATATGATATTCGGACATTTCTATACGAATATTTTCTACTAGGGGGCTTCGCCCCCTGCTCGCTTCGCTCGCCAACCCCGGGGGGCTTCGCTCCCCGCTCGCTTCGCTCGCTCCCCCCCAATCCAACGGTCAGCCCCCCCACCGCGTTTGACCCTCGGACACCCTCCTCCCTTCTAACCCCCCGACCTTGGGCTTCGCCCCCTGCTCGCTTCGCTCCCCAACCCCGGGGGGCTTCGCCCCCCCGCTCGCTTCGCTCGCTCCCCCCCAACCCAACTGTCAGCCCCCCCACCGCGTTTGACCCTGGGACACCCTCCTCTCTTCTAACCTCCCCGACCTTGGGCACCCCCTGACCACCCCTCCCCCCCCACCTTTAGGCGTCGCCTGAATTTTTGCCTCGCCTGAATTTTTGCGTCGCCTGAATTGTCTTAAATTTTGCCCTTATTTTTTTATTATATAGAGAGATATATAAAATCACCCTGTGACCTGTCAGAATTGGGTTGGCTTGAGTCACATCAGGTCACGTCAGGTCGGTTGGGGTCACGTCGACTCGGACCACATCTGTGTCGCCCCAGGGCCGCATCAGTGTCGCCCCAGGGCCGCATCTGTCGCCACAGGGACGGTTCAAGCGTCGCCTGAATTTTTGGGCTTATTTTTTTATTATATAGAGAGATACATAAATTTTCGTTTTCATACGAAAGATGTCTAAACGCTCCAGAGAAAAACGTAGAGAAATGTCGCAACCCCATTCGAAATGTTTCTATACATGTGGCAGTGGGTCGTTACAGGATCAAACCTATAGAAATCGTATAGAATGAATTTGTATAAAAAATATCCGTATAGAAATATCCGAATATCATATACGAAAATCCTATAAAAATTCTATACGTAACCAGTATAGAAAATTTCTACACGATTTTTTCATATGTGTAAACCCCGTCAAACTGAAGATAATGCTATGTATGACGCCTCATTTTCATGGGTTTTTCATGTTTTTTGAGTATGCCAAAGGGCAATTTGACAGCTTGAAACCCCGCAGGTATATTGAGGCCAATTCGTAAAAAAAAAATTTTTTGGACAAAACCAGGTATTTTCAAAAAAACATAACTCCCTCAATTATCAATATTTTTCGATTTTTTTTTATTTTTGCCTAATTGCCATCTTTCCTGAAAAAATTGAGATAAAAATTTCCAGCATCGACTTTTTTGGCCTGCTGATTTGACGTGGCCAAATCAAATGCTTAGCAATAAAATTGAAAGAAAAATGAAGAAGAAAAAAAAACAAGATGAACATAACTAGTTGTTTTTTTAGCAAGTTCTGTATCAAAAAGAATCACATAATTTTTTTTAAGGCCTGGGTAGATTATCTTTCGAACGTTATCTCGATTGTTTTTCTATCTTCATAATCTAAAATATATTTCCTTTGGATTTTACATTACGCAGAAGTCCCTAAAAATTATGATTGTACAATAAAAAAAAAGAAAAAAAACTGAACATTTTCAAAGAGCGTTTTTAATAAAGATTAAGAAATAAGTCCGATAGAGAGGAAATAGTGAATGGATAATTTACATGGTAACTAACGATCTAACAGCCATTGACTACTGTGACAAATGACGACCTAACAGCCATTAGATACATCAAATTAGTAATTTGCAACTTCCTCCCTATTGGGTTTATTTCCCAATATTATTCAAAAACGGTAGAACCAGGAAAAATGCAAGTGATGGAAGAGGACGCGTCGATGGAAAATATCTCGGAATTTTTATTTCACATTTACCTATAGGTAAATCCACAGATATAGCGGCAGATTCACGTCAAATCGACCACTCGAAGAAATACCTGAATATGGAAGTAAACGTTCAAACTTGAAAAAATCATAACATTAATATCAATCAATATTAACGGCTGAAAATTTAGGAACATTTTTTTTAAGTCACTGATTTTGGAAAAAAATCGACGATCAAATCCCTGACATCCACTTCTTCGAGTGGTCGATTTGACGTAGATCTGCCCAGTCCTGTAGATATCAAAATAAATAAAACCTTCATAAAAAATTTAGAAATTTGTTTCTTCAATTCTGAAATATCTACGAAAAACTTGGCATTTTATTTATTCCACAATGTCACTTCACTACTGGATTATATTCTGTTTTTCAAATACTGATGAATGTGTGTAGAGATAATCAGGTGATGAATGGTGTTTCTTTATTTCCAGGGCAACTATGTATTGGAGGATGATGCTCTATTGACGTCAGAGCAACCGCAGTTCGACGTAATCCTTTGTCTGTCAATAACAAAATGGATCCACTTAAATTTCGGTGATGCTGGACTGAAACAGGCATTCAAGCGAATGCATGCACAGCTGAGACCCGGTGGTGTGCTTATACTCGAGTCCCAAAGTTGGCCGAGTTATGGGAAAAAGAAGACATTAACTGTGAGTTTGTCATTGTATCATTATGAAATTTCTCATGAAGAGACCATTCACAACGTAACAAGTGGGCCAATTATTCTGGTGTGTGTCGAACTATAAGCTGTGCTTTGATAGAAGAGATCTTGATTATATTCAATTTAGTATGTCATTGATTTTTAATTCCAATGCGACTTTTATTGTAAAACAATATAATTCAAATGCATTTGAAGATTGTTTAAAAATATCTCGGAGTCGAACAGATGAAGGCTGAAATTTCTGAAAGGATCTTTTTTATGGAGAAGAAAAAAAACTATGAAACAGATTTTTTTTTAAATTATTTTTGTATGACGACTGCAATGTTGAAAAAGGAAATTACACCGATGAGGAGCGATTTGGGGACAAATTTCACGAGATGTCCTTTGTTAGACATTTGTAGATCTACTGAAAAGGTCTCCACGCACGACAAAATTTTATAGAAAAACTTAGCATGGTTGGCTTCCGGATGGATGCCGCGTTGAGTTTCAGCATTGCGCCGACGTTTCGCAAACATTGCAGTCTGCATCTTCAGGGCTATGAGCTCCGATTCTGAGCTCCGATGTGTGGGGGCAGTCCTTATATACCTTCCCTTGTGGTGGTGGGAGAAGGGGAAGGGGGGGGG